CACACAGGCCACCAAATGCCACAGTCTGGCTGGGCACAAATCACGAGCCACTCAAGCAGGAACAAATTTTATTTCCAAACTCACGTGAACTCCACCCACGCGGCCCTTCCAGGCACACCACACACCAACCGGAACTCCTTCCACTGGAACTCCACCCACCAACTCAAACTCCCCAGGAATCCCCGAGAGAACTCCAAAGTAGTGGGTGCCCAAGGCGGACAGCAGGGGGCTATATACAATTGAATACACAGCTTAACATAACCATCAATCTCAATGGCTCCCTGGCATCACCTCTCAACCACTCCCTTCTGGCAAGATGCCATGCATCATCCCGACTTGGCTGTGGCCCTCAACAGGTTGTCAAAGATTTCAGGTCAGGCCTGTAGGAAACAGTTGTTACAGAGACAAGTCAGTAAGTTCTTTGGAGCCCAGGTTGGTAGCAGTGTCCTAATACTGTGAAGAAGGCTGTGACTTCAGTTCTGGAGTAGCACCTGGGTGGATACTCCTCACTGGCTGGACAGCTGTGCTCTCCTAGAGGCATGACACTAGGGACACCACACGAGTAAGCTCAGAACCCAGGCAGCTTCATGAGGAGGATTAAGAAATGAAATCTTGTTGTGCTTATGGGTGACAGAGCAGATGGTTAGCAGCACCTGAGGATGTTACCCAGCACTGCAAATAATAATAATATAACAACAGTAACAGCCACCACACCAAAAATTTCTAGGAAGGTTCTTCAAAGTGTCACATGCTTGTGCTCAGACGGGGTCTCCTGTTCACCTAACTGGTTTGTCAGTGCTTCTTTGCATCCAGACAGACCCTCTCCCCGCATGGTGTTAGGTCCTGTGACCAAGACCACACCTGGGCAAATGGTGAGCATCACCTGGGAGTCCCACAGCTCCTCCCCCAACAACATCACTCTCAAGTGGTTCAAAAATGGGAATGAGCTGTCACACACCCAGAGCAGCATGGATCCCACAGAAGAAAGTGTGTCCTACAGTAGGTCCAGCATAGCCCAGATGACATTTACTCCCAGGGATGTCCATTCTCAAGTCATATGCAAGGTGGCCCATGTCATTCTGCAGAGGAGCCCTCCTCTTTGTGGGACTGCCAACCTGTCTGACACCATTTGAGAAACAGGACCTTGCTCACTGCCCCAGTCCACACTGCTGCTCCCCAGGGACCTTTGCTCCAGGAACTCAGTGACCTGTGCTTTAATTCCCAGCAGTGCTGCCACCTGCGGTGCTAGTGTGGACTCCTGCCCTGTGTCCAGCATGAGCTGGTGGCTTTATTTCATTGACCAGAAGCAACTAGAACTGCTGAGCTCCTAACAGAGTGGAGCTTCAAGGTGCAGGATCATTTCATCTATTGTGCTAACTTCCTGCAGGCCAGGAGTTGGGCCTGTCAACCTCACTCACTTTACCCTCAGGGGAGCTGCTGGTCACTTGGCACCTGTGGGTGGCAGGCCCTGTGGTTAGTGATTCACTCCTGTGAAAACCCTCAGTGTCTGAGCCCCTCTGCATGCCTGGCCCTGTCCCGAGGGAGGCCCCTGCCATACTGGGAGGAGCTCAGCTGTTTGTGCCATAAGGTCATAGCTTCTCCCTGTGCTGTTTCAGTTCTGCCCACCCTGGAGGTCACCCCACTGCCCACCATGGCAGGGAACCAGGTGAAGTCACTTCTGCTCCCAGAGCCTACAGCTGACCTGGGTGGAGAATGGCGACATGTCCAGGAGAGAAACAGCCTTGACCCTCTGAGAGAACAAGGATAGGACCATCAACCTGA